GTAAAATAAACTAGGCCCGGAAATGTATCTTACAGTTGATATTTTCTAGAAAGCTTGTGACTTGTTGCAGTCAGACCTCCCCAGCCAGAATGCAGCATCTTGTGGCCAAAGATAAAATGCACGTTTTTTTATTCCATATGACGTTGAACGTATCTAATCAGCTGGTCAGGGTAGACAATTAGGCGAGACATTGGGGCAAGATTAAAAATGCATTCCATAGTTTCCGACAGAAACATTTATTTGAAGGAAAGGAATCAATCAAATTTTTGAAGGCACTCGAAATGAGGTTTGCGCGCTTACGAAAGCCGACTATATTTCTTTGCATTACGCCGCATTGCTGTGGTAGTGGAAAGGATGGCAGTAACACCGACAGCATTGGCGCTTTTTTAGAGCTCACCTCCCAAGAAACAAGGGATGCTTACAAGCAGCGCACTCACATGGGCAGATTAGGAAAAAGGGTGGATGTGAATCGAAGCCGATACAAAATGTCCTCAGACCTGGTCAAATATAGCACATATATAGCAAAACATCCGACTTCCTGCCAGAATTTGATAAACTGTAGGAATCCTGATGGCCGAATTTCCTTTGTGCAATTCGTAATAGCAACTAACGTCTGTGACTTCAATAATTTAGGGTGCTTAACTTTACGGTGATTAGATTGTATCGAGAATAAGAGTCACGCGCACCAGTGTGTTTACTAACCACGTTGATTTAAGGTCAGTGTACACTGTTAGGTCACCTGCTGTCTGATAATTTTCAGTTGGGACAGAGGCATTATTGATTGCGTTTTAGGGCCTGACCACTTGTACACACAATCGACTGACAGGCCAACGCACGATAGGCGATTCCTAGCATAGCCAGTCGAGTGCGAGTCGCTTCCCCACAGTCAACTGAGTGTCCCCGCCATCCGTCTCACGAATAATACCGCGAATAACGAATCACAAACAAATCACTCAACCCGCAAAATATTTCCAATACAAAGTTAAGAAAGCCTAGTTTTATTGCGCAGCACGCGTAATTTGCGCGTCCGGGACACTGAAGTTGCAGCACCACACCCGTCCCACAATCTCACAGTTAAAAGGCATGCTTCTCAGTTAATAAACAGTCGATGGCTTGAATTCCACAGCTTGCAAGCGGATCGTTTTCATCATATTAGCGCGTCCGTTAACAGTTGGATAGATTCTTCTTCACAGTACCCGATAAAGTTCGTACTATTTGCAGGTGCGTTTTAAATGAATAGTGCAGTGGAAATTCACCAGATGGGACGCCATTCGTCTCCTTTCCTATTAAGGACGAACTTTCCAGAACTCTCCAGTACTGTCGTGTGACTTTTGAGGTAGACTTGTTATAGTGAAATATCGTCACAAAAAGCTGTTTTATATGGGTCATACTGCCGCTGCCAAAACGTACTTGATTCAGTGCATTTGATTCATTAAGTTGCAGCCCCTGGAAGCCTGTTACAAGCCAGTCGACTTAGATGAGCTTGCTTATTCGCAGTTCACTGGCGCCTCATTTGACTTTTGGAAACTGTTTTCGACACCTCTGAGTTTCGTGAGATAAGCACTGCTGACGATTCGCAATAAGGATGAAACAGCATCACAGTGTTACTCGACCTTTGATCAAAGATTGGCCCCACTGAGAGCACAAAGTCTCGGTTAGAAGCCGGTGACAGTGCCACATCCGAATTTTTCTTCGTTTTGATAATCTTATTGGCTTCCTGGTTGCGCGTATCTAGCACGAAAATGGATTGCTTTGGACACATTGAGATTCCGTTCTGTAGACTCGATCTTCTTTTTCGCCGAAAAGGGGTTTGTGGAAAATTTTGGTGGTTAGTCGTGAAGCTGCATCAAGTTGGCAAGCTCAACATTGGAATTGAGAAGCACCGCAGACACCTACCTTGGCCAAAGTATGTGAATTGAGCGCAGATATTTTGCTTCAATACAGAGAAGACTGTTCGCGCTTATTTTCGCTGGTTCACAGCTCCATGATCACACGGCTGCTGAAACATGCTGAGTATAATATGGTTCAAAAGAAGTGACCGTTTGTCCTAAAAGTCTTATTGTGCGATTTGTTCGGACGCTCTCGTGTGCCACAGTTTTGGCGTAAACCGTTGCGAAGTTTATAAGTGGCTCAATGGAGCTTCGGTCGGTTGAATCAGGCATTGAATGGAACGCATAGTGTACTATTTATCTTCTCAGATCTCAGTGGACGTAGTCCTAATTTCGTTGTTACTATTAGGAGAATACCTAAAATAAATGACTTGTTGGAAGTCCAAAGCAGTTCCAAACAAATTCACTACAAATATGCATCGACCGCCATATTTCCGGGCACAATCACAACTCCATGTTGACGTAAGTACGAGCTAATCATACTGATGGTCAGCCCCCCGCAGCCCTATGGTTTGCCATGAACCACCAACTAGGAGACTGCTTGTTGGAATCACCCTGGAAGTCCTTGAGATGCCCATTGCTAATGGTCACCACTAATGATAAAACGGCTGTACGGCACTTCTCATTTCCTTGACATACACCAACCTGATTTACACGACGAAAGCTCAACTGCAACGCTTTCGTCTGTTGGATCCGGAACTTTTAATCGCTCACGTCTCTATCGCACTAGTCACTGAATGAGTGCTCCATACTAAGCTTCTCTGAGCCGGTAAAACGGTACAGAAAGCGAACAGTTTATAGCATTGGCGTTACCACAGTTGAAATGCTAACACAAATTGTAATAAAGCTTCCCAACACTGGATATTCAGACCAGGAGCTTGTCTTGACTATGGATGGGATTCCCACGTGACTGTCAGGCATGCCTCAACTTTCACTAGTGAACTATTTCCTTACATATCTCTTGATGTTGAAACTGTCGGTACGCGCAAGGTGACGTGCTGAAATGACAAGCCGAAACTCAGAAGTGTAGCCAAGCATTGTTTTAGGTATGGAACGAGGGAACGGGTTTACAGCAAGACCGCAGAACGGCTTGAGATCGATATGTTATTAGATACCTTGAAACAAAGCTACCAGCTATTCAACTGATGTTCAACCGGGCACAAACTGTCAGTGTTCTGTTTAGCGTGCTAAACTTCGGGAGAATCTAGCTTAATTCGTAACTAGATAGTGTATTATAATATGGGTAACTATTTAGAATCATTTTAATATATTCATATTGCGCCCTCTCTATACCTGTCTGTTACACTAAATTTAACAGTATTCACCATCGCTTATCAGAAAATTAACGATTTTAAAGTAGGTTTTGTTAACACGGGATTCAAAGAGTTTCGGATGGTCAACCCTTGAGTTAAGAAGAAATACCGGTGTTTGAAATTCAAAAATTCACGAAAAAAATGATAACTTGGTGTTGAAATGCCTCAAAAGAAACGTAGTTAATGTGAGAACAAAACGTTGTTTTTGATGCCGGAATACAAAAAAATGTGGTGAATGATCACTACTTTCAAAGCCCTCCAACTGGGGAACATCAGCTTCACAATTTCTAATGTTGTTCTTTGTCATCACTGATGGTGGTTTCTTAGAATTTGTCATCTTCCACTGTGATATACCTCATTCAATGTACAAGTGATCTTAGTTCTCAAAGAAAGACCTCCTTGAAGAAGGGTCTCCAACATAGCTCTTGATAGGGATATAGAATGTTGCTCCATTGTGTTCTTTTAATGAGTGGTTTCTATACTGCACCATGGGAGAGATCTCAAATTATAAACAGTCAACTGGGTGCAATAAACGTTCTATGATGGGAATTTTCATAGAGGAAACTACTCACAAGGTTGCTGAAAACTCTTCGACAGCCCACGACCGGTTTCGCTTTTCTTGGGGCTCATCAGGTAGGCGCAATTCCCGAGTTTCCGTCAACCTTACGTTCTACTCGTTTGGTTGGGGACTTGCAGACTTTTAGGAATGATCAACTGCTTTCAAGGTCAAGCAAGCGTGTGGAGTCTATGGCAACACAAGATTCGAGGTTATGTTTGACGAACCGGTGCAGAATTTCTTCTATTACACACTTTATGATACAAGGACAGTTTCTCTAAGTGTTAATTTGCTTCATTAAACAGCTCACAATTAGAAGCATCTACGCTGTTCTGTCACTGATGACAGTCCGATCCGTGAACCCACATGTCTTGGGAACGTCATTGAATTTATCATTTTTTTCATGCATAATAGCATTTGAAATCATAGCTGTAATGAAATAGGAGGAAGCAGCTTGAGAACTGAAAAATATGGCAACTACATACTGGAAATGTGTGTTACCCTCGTTGAATTCTCCTCTGTGGAATAAGACAGGACAGGCAAAGTATAATACACCTTTGCTGACGAATCAACAAGTAGTTCAACTAGGCTCCGATTAAATTAAAGGGCAGGCCTCAGGTGGAGGGATAGGAAGGAATATTTTTTCTGCTATGTTCTTATACAGATAATCGCTGTATCTTGCTCTCTGTTTGCAACTGCTATATGAGCACCGCTAGTATATTTTCGTGCCTGCACACACCTCCGATGGCTTCGCTCAGGTAGTTCGCTCCTTAGACTTCTGGATAAGACCAAAATAGGCTGAATTGAAGATGAAATACTACGATGTGATACGCATCTGAAAGATCTACGAACTAATATATATGCCGCGCGTTTCTGGCTACTGTATGAAACATTCTTTTTCCGCTCTGGAGCACCTACTGCTGACCGACGGTTTAACACCTAGAGTAGGGAGCACGTTTGTTCGCCTTTCATCCGTACTGTATACAGTCAATTTGAGCTGGTTCTACCAAATGAATGTACAGTTTTTTTGGCTTTCAACTACGTAAGGTTGCCAAATTTAGTGAACCTCTCAGATGCCCCTTCTGGTTAAGCAGTGCTTAGTACAGTACTTTCACATCACGGATCTGTAGCACCAAATTTTCGAGATAACTGGTCACTGGGTTTATGGGTTTAAGTCAGTCACGTAAAACTGAACCGTATACAAACCTCAACACAAAATTCCTTTGTTCCTTTCACTTACAGAGCTCCTCTGATTTGCGCCCAAAGTTGGTAAACGTGCAGTTCGCTATCGAGTGTTGCAGTGTGGCCATTGTGTTTTTATTTGTTATCGAAATTCCGTTCAAACTATGGATATTCGGCTGCCGGATGTTTTTCCACAATTGGCTGGAGATTATCGATGCTTTGGTATGCTTGGTCAGTTTTGCGGCCGACACGTACAGTATCATCCAGCACACCTTACATCATTACACTAATACAGACAGACCACAGAGTTATATGAAAACATCGCCATCTAACGCAACTCAGGAAATGATGGAACGTTTCCCAGTGGAAGAATCTACCGCATCAAACACCATTGTGGACGCGGCCGCCCTGTTGATCCTGTTTCGTCTTTGGCGAGTGGTCAGGATAATAAACGGTGAGTTGGTTGCAGTTTTCAACTGCTTATATGAGTAGATTATTCCGAAATACACTCACTCGCAAATCCATTTGGTTTTCACGAGAGACTCAACTGAATCTCTCGTTTATGATATTCTACAACTGAATGTGGTGCACACAGGTTGCCTCATGATTCAGTTGGCACGATGTTCGAGATATCACAGCATATTTTCATAAAGGAAACTACTCACAAGTTTGATGAAAACTCTTCGACAGCCCACGACAAACTCTTCTTAGGGCTCATCAGGTAGGCGCAGTCCCCGAGCTTCCATCAAGCTTATGTTCTACTTGAATCTAAATTTGACAGTTATCGAGAAGTACACTCATTTGCAAACCCTGTTTTTCCAGGATAGATCACTATAGCGTAATGTGATTACTTTTGGGCTTAAACTTATACTTTTAAGATAAAATCTTAACCCCAGGGAGAGACACTCGTCTGATCCCCCTGGTCCGAATCTCCTTCCAAAAGAGAAAGATCGAGACGGAGAGATGCTCGGTTTTCATCTCATCACACTACAGTTGTCTACTGTGGAACACTGAATTGGCAAAACAGTTGTACTTTTAACGTCCTGTTAGGTGACGTGTCGTAAATTTAGTTACTGTAAGACATAGTACAGGGACATTTGATCGTACATGGATTTCGCTCTGTTTCTTTTCTGACCAAATAACCTCGCCAAGTGAAGCGTCCACAAACCGGTGACAAATCAATGTAAAAACGTCTCAAGATGGTCACACACATCCATCACACTAAAGAATGGTGTTGAGCGGGTCAAAATTCGATTATTTCTTAGGAGATCAATTGTTTCGTTGCAGTTCTTCACAGCTAAATAAAATGAACTCCGTACCCCGTAACCACGAGTAACGTACACACACCGGGTACCAGTCCATCGTTACTACATTAGCTCAATAAATCAATTATTGCATACAGTCGAAGCTTGTCCGGCGATCGATAGTACGTGCTGACTAGTAGTCGTCAAAGGTATAAGGTGGGCGCGGATTCATCCCACCATTCTAATGGTTTAGATCACCGCTGCATGTTTTCTTCATATCACCACCAAGAAACATGCGTACATTCTCGGTACGCGTACTATGTGCTGTGCACAATATTTCCCAGTTACCATTGATTTAGGAACGCAAAGACTGCCTATGGATAGGTCAGCTGCACTTGCTAACGGATAGAAATCGATCACTTGGAAATACGGCTTCGAATTCCTAAGAATGGACTGACTGTTGACTATGAGATGGCTGCGAGTTGGACAGCCTCTGTCTGATGAACCATCAGTTAAAAGCTACCTGAGAACAAGGAGTATACTTGGGAGTTTCATTGAGAAATGCGAATCAGGGTTCCATCGGTACATCTGAAACAGGCACCGAGAAAGAGTCAATGTCTCGACAAATCTACACGGGCTCATGTACTTTCACGACATCTCATTCGACCATTTCCTTTTGCCAAACTAGACAGAGGGGACAGTGAAAACACAGGGAAAGCGGTCAACTAGCACAACAACCGGATACAGGGAAGGAATGAACAACCGAAACCAGGTACACAGGTCAAAGATAGGTGAAGTTCGAGTGACAGGCTCGAACGTACGCTTGACGAATGGGATTGACATAGAGCGCGTATGGGTAGGGAGCCAAGTTTACGGGATACGTGCGTCCTGTCTTACCATGGAAAAGTGAAGCTCAGCGCCATTGGATTGCCGCAGTTTTCGACAAGCATAAGAAAAGCCCGTTGGTATGACGGATAAAAACCCTGAATGAGTCTGGTTTGCTAGTGCACTAGAAATGTGTTTCGTGGTGACTGTATCCCGAATTTACTTGACTAGCTACTTGGGAAAGTGTTCGGTGACGCGAACTGATAAGTGCCCAGCTGAATAACCAGTGTGCGCTTCCACATTCATGTTGGTAAACAAAGTATGTAGTGCACAGCTGGCAGCGATATTCCTGTTATTTTGGTCAAACGCACTATAAATCAGCTGCAGGGATGATTCGTTGTACTGCGCTCTGTAGTTGATGGTTTGTTCGGTTTTATAGATATTCCCCTCTGAATTCTAAGTGGATGCACTCGCTTCTTTGGAATCCCAAAAGGGTTCCGTACTACATGGCTGTTTTTTCTATACTATCAGTGTCTACTCCACATCTGATGTGCTGACAGCAAGTGACTGAATAAGATGTCGAAACTTCAGTAGTCCTGTCGAACTGTTGGTTTGTTTCGGCGCTTGTTCCAACCATTTACTTATGTGTGCGCTACGGCATGATGCGACAGTTGGACGCATCTGGTCTTGTAAACTGTCGTCCAGGAAAATGAACCTAACTAGAGCAAGATTCATGCGGAGCGGTTCGGCCTGCACTGTTCAGCGTTTGTGCTCCTGTTTGCTGATCCCACTCACATCATAAGGTCGTGCTGGTACATTCGGTCATTGTCCAAACCGGGTTGGACGAGTCTCTCTATACCTTTGGGGTAAATGTTGAACCAGACGAAGAGAGTACTTGGTCGTCTTGAAGTTTTGGTTTTATATCGACGGAGCTTTTTATGATTTCATAAATCAAACTTGAGACAGCTGGTATTGAGCTGAATACCACTTTTACAGCCAGTTTTACCACCGTGGATGTTCAGTGGGGTTAACGAGTGATAAAACTGACTATGCGATAACAAAGACGCGATGGGGTTTTTAACTCATACGGCTCTATTTGTCGTTTTTTCAACGGAGAGGTCAATCAGCTTCTTTGCAGATATTATACCCATATAGGACGTAGGCACATCAACCACGGTCGGTTCGATTTCACGAGTGTAAGTGACAAGTTGCGCTGCGCGGAACAACAGAGATTGGCCATGACCTTCCACTAAAAATGACGGGAGTCTCTCCTAGATAAACCCGAAATTTCGTGCACGATAGACCCCTGCATCTATTCGAGGGATTTGACAGTAGACGACGATTTTACATCCAGTGAACTGATATAACTAGTCGTAGTAGCTGAGGTTTTTTTCCTCCGAACTTTTTGGAAGCCTGATTCCTACTTTGAAGTTTGACCAAAAATTGATAACTCTTAGATGTTTTATATCGCGTTTATCTTTCGCGCATCAGTCTGAGTTGACGAACGTGTAAAAATTGAGTCCACTCGGCCCAGTCCTGCAGTTTAGGTTGCTAATTATCAGTCTTGGGGTGTTGATACAAAGGACGTCTTGAAGCCTAATATATACATCCTGATACCCCAGCGAAATTTCTGATACTTTCAATTTATCATACGATAATATCCGAACAAGGACCCCATCCTATTTTGAGGATGGAGAGACACTGGGTGTGTCCATGTAGTGTACATGCTTCGACTAATTTCTGGGTTACATTTATTCAGCATCACTACTTCATATAGTCTCGAAGGTTCCTACCCTCTGATTAGGCGCAACTCGTATTCGGTCATTGCAAACATTACTAAACATTACGAGTTTCACTCCCTCGAGAATTTTTCGAAGGGTAGAAAACATAGCCTTTCTGCAGGCTTAAGTGACTTATTTTCGGCCAGCTATCACAGCTTTAGGAAAGCCTTCATTTTACATTATATTAGTTGTATTTCTCGGAGGGAAAACTGCACCGAAAATGCACACTGGCCCCGTCACATTGTAGGTCACCAAGTCGTTGCCAAATTACCGGAGTACGTAGATAAAACGAAAAACAAATCATGTTTGGTGAACATGGATCCCACTGAAAGCCATTTTTGTTAAACCGAGCTTTCAATCCTCGGTACCGATAGTACGACATGACCAATTGATTTTCAAGGGCAGCGCTACCGCTTGGATAGGTGAATATCAGAAGGGCACATATAGGCAGGGATTAGGTATGAAATGCACTGACAAAATGCAAAAGCGACGAATTCCTACCTTCAAACATCAAAACCTCACCTGCCTAGCCATATTAGGCGAAAGAATGATGTTCGGAACACAGTGACATTGTGTGTCGTTCCCATACATTCGTCCACCAGTTTGCTTTGGCATGGCGGGGAAAGATGTAATTAGGTTCCTGGTAGAATCTGATGACACTCTTTTGTCCTTAGATTCAGTACTGTGATCGTTGTGAGGGGAAATGACAAAGGTTGCTCCAAAGATTTATCTCCTAGATGATACCCAATAGCCCCTAAAAATTTAACGCGATAGATTCCCGTTGTATTATACATACTACATCCGTACGCTATATCAACAAACCAACAAACAGTTGCAAGCTGTTGACGTTCACTTTTCCGTGAATAAATGAAGGGAATGGTACTTTTGGCCAGATTGCACATTTCCCTCCGTTACTGCATCGAGGTTCATCGACACTCCGGAGCAAGATTTCTCCCACTGTGTCAGAATATGTGGTTTTGCTGCCAAGAGGCTGCTTCACTAGGTGAAGTCCATTTTCCTGAAAGAAGTACATTACTGAACATTAAGGAGTACTAAATGGGTTACACCGGATGTTGTACCCAAATAAGAACGCGTTTAACCCCAGGTCACGAGAAATGTAACTCAAGCGGACAGCACTATTTGTCACCGAACAGGGGGAACACCGTTCAAGTAGAACTTAATGTTGACGGAAACTCTACCTGATGAGCCCCAAGAAGGGCAAAACCAGTCATGGGCTGTCGGAGAGTTTTTCGCAACCTTGTGAATAGTTTCTTTTATGAAGAAGGAGAAATCAGTTGCATTTACGTCCCATCTAGTACCACAGAACCTGTTAAGGCACCTCGCAAACGGTCAGATAGGAACTCACCATAGACTGTAGATGAAATTCTTCGGCCATTTGCGCGTGATGGGCAAGTCTTGTGTAAACTTTGCATCACATGTCAGGGCCAGAACGTATGGGTGGCGCACTAACGTATAACGCACCAGCGAGTAGAAGACACCGGGAAGTCTTACTTTTTTCTTAATTCTATTAACAGCTAATTGTAAAGCCCCAGCACACAGAGCACTGCCGATCTTCAGTAAAATCTCAAATCTCACTTTATGCT